GCAAATACATGAACATCCTTTGTGAAATTACAATAATTCAAAAACTAATAAAATGAAAATCTAAAGTCAACTATAGCTATTAAATGTCCATAAAGAGTTTTACTATTCAAATTGTCAAACACTGGAATTTGAACATTTTATTAAACATATTAAAAACAAGAAAAATAATCTCTAGATCTATGCCAATCAAAATCTAGTTATTTGTATTTATTTATTTTTAGTCACTCAAGTAATGCATATGTAAGGCAGAAATTAGAATATTCAAGTTAAAAAGAGAAAGAAAAAAATCAGTTTTCAATCAGTCTAGTTTGACTTCCTATTATAATTGTATTTGCTAATTTATGAAATTAAACTTATTTTTTAAAACTAAACATTATAAATGATTTGGGATAAATTAATAATTCTTTAGTACATATAAAACATGTGGAAAACAATTTTTAAATGAATAATTCATAAGTTAATCTTAAAAGCTTAAAGGAAGTTTTAAAATGCTTAACTTTAACAAGCAACTATAAATTGTCTTTTCTATGAGAAACCAATCTTCTTTAAGTTAATTGCTGTGGCACGTGGTATAACTGTGTCTGCTGCCATAGAGAGTTCCTCCCAACAAAGGAAAACTCGCGTTCCTCTGTCCCCTTTTAGCTAAAGGCAGCTGTTGAGCCTAAAGAAACTAAACTTCCATTTTCATGAGTGAGAAATCCTAGGAGCGCTAAGTGGCCTGGTCCTATTAAACATCTTCCTGAAATAAATTTTATAGGCTGTTGATTGTTTAAGTGCAGCCACGGGGATTTATAATGAAACCAAAGCTGAACGTAGCTTGTTACAAGGTAAATACTCCTCTATGTGTTTTTTAATTCACGATCAAATGAATCTGCCAGTATTTAAACTTCTGATACCTAAATGTGGTTCACACAGAATAAGCATGAAAAGTGTTCCTTCTGTTTCCCAAACTATCTGATAAGATCTGGGTGAGCCTCTCCTTACACAGCAAAGAAGGGGCCTTGTCTTAAACTAACTTTTAGCACTGAGTTTTTGAACAGCATCAGTGATCAGAACCACAATATATTTATGCTAGACTTCCTCCGTGGTCAGCAAACTGCGGCTCACGAGCCACATGCGGCTCTTTGGCCCCTTGAGTGTGGCTCTTCCTAAGCCTTAGGAGTACCCTAATTAAGTTAATAACAATGTACCTACCTATATAGTTTAAGTTTTAAAAATTTGGCTCTCAAAAGAAATTTCAATCGTTGTACTGTTGATATTTGGCTCTGTTGACTAATGAGTTTGCCGACCACTGTCCTAGATGCATCTTTTCATTACACAGCTGACCTTTAAACAATGCAGGGGTTAGAGTGCCAACAGCCATACAGTCAAAAATCTGTGTCTAACTTTTGATTCCCCAAAAACTTTACTAATAGCCTACTGGTGACCAGAAGTCTTACCAATTACAAAAACAGTTGATTAACCGTTTCTCGACATAAAATAAAACAAGCGCTATCACGCTGTTTGGGTCTTTTCGTACTCATTTAGAGAAAGCGCGGTTGTGCTGTTTGGGATTCTTCGACAGTGTTTTTTCAATACCCGCTGGGACTCAAACGAATCGTATGTTTTCTCGACATAAAATCTCAGCAGCGCAATCGCGCTGCTTGGAACTCAAACAGTTAACACAGATTTTGTACACGTACAGGCACACCTCATTTTATTGCCCTTCAGATGTGTGTCTCACAAGTTGAAGGCAACACCCGACAGCAGCAAAAAGATTATGATCAGCTTTACTGAGAGAAACTCACTTTACTGCGGGGGTCGAGGACCAGACCCGTAATAGCTGAGGTATGCCGGTACTATATTCCATATTCTTACCATAAAGTCAGCTAGCAAAAAGAAAATGTTATCAGGAACATTATAAAGGTGAGAAAGTGCATTCACAGTGTATACTGAAAAAAATCCAAGAACAAGTGAACCCACACAATTCAAACCTGTTATTCAAGGGTCACCTGCACTTCTTTATATTCCCCACAATGCCCCTAGAACAAATGTGTGCAAAACACATCTGATTTGGGTTATTTTTGAGCACCACATCCTTTGTGAGGCTAGCATGTTGCCAGCTCTTCTCTTCCCACTTGCCCGATGTGTTGGAAACTGTTACGATAAACCCACTCTACGACTCCCAAGCACAAAAGGAGATAGTAGGAAGAAACACATGTGTGCTTTGGCACTATGATTTAAGTTCCAGAGCTTACTAAATGTAAGCTATAATATTTGAGACATTTTCATTTCCTGTTTAAATTCAATTTTCCTTTCCCTAATTTTGTCCTTAAAAAAATCTCATACTCCACTCATTCATTTTCTTGAATTTCTGCAAGTATTGTTTTAGTTTTACTCTTAAAAACTCATTCTATTACTTTTCAGTCTATAAACATGGCCACTCTTTCTCTAAGCACCGCTTCATTTACATGTCATTACAATTTTTAAAAATTAATTGGCACTAGATATGCCATTCTTTTTCATTATTAATATAAAGGAAATGGCTAATGACTCATAGGGATGTTTTTCCCAAATCATGTGATATTAAGATCACAATTAAATTCTTTTGGTTGATATGTGGCCTGAAATCAAGACACACTTGATTTTTTTTTCTTTTAGAAATCGTTAAGTTATAGTAGCTCTAAAAACAAGGAGGAGATGAAAACATTACCTCTTTGCAACTTTTAACAAAATTAAAAGCCTGTGTTTGGCGAGGAAATAGTTTCCAAATAGAGGGCGGCTCTTCTGGCTTTGACAGCCTGGGCCTGTACACTGCGGACAAGGGCTTCCTTTCGTAATGGGATGCTCGCTCTTCAATTTGCTTCAGTTTTGCTTCCCATCGTTTCTTCATGGGTTCAGAAGTGTGGGGAGACCAAGTCTTATCCCATGTAAGATGGCTATCAACTACACCTAAAACAAACAAACACACAGGGACATCAGAGTCTTTGTTTAGGATAAATTGTTTGGTAAAACTTCAAAACGCATTTCCAACTCTGCTTTCTATTGTATGTTTTGCATGAAGTTTTCATGTGAACTCGAACAGAGCTGGTTACCAGAAACTGTTAGATCCAGGTCTCACATCTAACAATTTGTGGTTTTGGACAAGCTCCCTGAATCTTCCTCACCTGCAGAATGGGAACCAATCTCTTTTTTAATACTTTACGTAGTTACCTTGAGGATAAATACAAAAGACTTATGAAAATGTTTTGTAAATTTCAAGGCCTCATGTAGATGTGTTTTTGTATCATTACGGTTTCCATTATGGTCATTTTATTGCATCAGGTGCTCTCCACCTTCCCCAGCTGGTGCTCCTACCTTTGCCATCACTCTTGTGCTATGGTGAGTGTAGAGTTTATTTCTAGGCTCCACTGTGCAGTTCATAGCTCCCTTTTCTTCTGTTTCTCTTCAATGTTCTCAACACAACTGTTCGTCGGGAGGATAACTCAGTGTATACTGTAAGTGTGAAATACAATATTGGCTAGTTTTGCTTTGCAATGTCTGTAGTAATCATAAGGATGATTTTAAAAAGGAATAAATAAATCTTTACTTCTGTCTGTTAATTTAATGACTGTGTGAATGACTGCATTTTAACTCTTGTTTATTAGTGACATTTGTTTTTGTTTGCATACAATGCTTTCATGTTAACCACACCCAGGTAAGAAATCAGGCAATACTTTTCCAATTTGGGATTATGGTTTACTTACAAAGGAAAAGGGATAGGTTTTTAGAAGGGTTATGAGTGTGTGTGAGTTTGTGTGTGTGGGGGGGGTGGGGAGTGTAGATTGAAAATGGCCACAAATTCTTTGCCATTCCTCTCATCAAGAGATGCCGTCTAAGCCCATTCCCATACTGACTCGGCTTGGACATGTGACTTGCTTAGGCCACGTTACATCAACGAATGTAAAGCAAACAGAGGGTTAAAAGGGCGTGGCATTGAATGTGGAGATCTTGGCGTCCCTTCCTTGAGACTGTCATGCTATAACTCTAGCCTCAGGGAGGATAAAAGCCACCTGGAGGAGAACCAAGGTACCCCAGCTAACAGCCAGCACCAACTCTCAGATGATATGAGTTAAGCCATTTTGGATTATCCAACCACATCAGAACTCAATGCATGAGTGAGCCCAAGTAAATTCAGGTGAGACCTGCTAAAGAACTGCCCAGGCAACCCGCAGGACTGTAAAAAAAATCTGTTGTTTTTTTTTAAAGCCAGTAAGTTTTAGCCTGGTTTTCATACAGAAATACATAACTGATAATAGTTTCCCTCTTCATTAATAACATTTATATCATAATTTGTCTATGTTGAAAACCAGGATCTTAGTTTAAGTGAAATAATAATATATACTAAAGTATTTGAGGGTAAAATTCCTATTTACCTTTGGCACTGCCTTTCTAGTACTTGTACTTATCAAGTTGATAAATGATAAATAGTCTCTTGAATTTTAGCAGAAAACTCTGAGACAACACAAACTCACGGTATTCCCTGGAAGAAAAAAATAGAATCACCCTAAAAGATTAAGAGAGGGTAGGAATGAATGTCATGATATGGTTAAAAAAAGAAAAAAGTTATTATCCATAGATTCCAATCTGACTTCAAACATAGCAGACCTAAGATTCTTCTCTCCAAGTTACAGCTAATCCACATGAAAATTATAAATTATAAACCAAGAAGCAGAAATATAGTTCTAAAGGTATCAGCATAAATTTCATAACCGATATGCTTAGGAAAGTAATGTAATTTCATTGGATTGAAGAAATGGGGCAATTTTTAATAAAACTGCTTTAGTGTTTTTTTTTCCAATACAAAGTGGTGTGACTCCTTATTGCTAGATTCTGAGTATTCAGTTCACTTTAATCTGCTTCACATACAGATAAAAATCCCCCACATTTAGACAACCTAATTGAGAAACCGACTTTTCTTCTGTGAAATCTGACTTTTAAGAAAGCCCACCGATTACTTAATGAAGAACATAAACACAGAATGCAATCAGATGCGAATTTCAGCTCAAGACCTTAGCCAATAACTGACGAGGAATAACCATGTGGACTTTCATACTTAGTGGGACACTGACATCACAAGAAACGGTTTTGATTTTGTAAAATTATTGGTATGACCATGGGACTGTGTCATACTTGCAAGTCATGGAGTCATAGTGGAAAACCAGTTTAGCACTTATTGGACTGAGATAACCATGAATGTCAACAGAGAAAAAAGAGAAGTTCAATATATGTTACTAGAGGCCCGGTGCACAAAATTCGTGCAAGGGCCTTGGCCCTCACAGCCCAGCCCACTGGTCGTTCAGGAAGGTCATTCCACTGTCCAGTCTAATTAGCGTATTAGCTCTTTATTATACAGGATACCCTCATGTTCTTTGCACAGTTTGAAACTTCCAACAGCTGGGTTGAGGGCTAGAAGACAACTGGAGCTGGGACTATTCCCGAAGGAGGGCTGGAGGACACAGCAGAGGCCATGGAGAACAGGAATGCATCAGGCATTCTGGTTGTGGACTATCATATTCCTCATTCCTACCCTCTGCGGGAACCATTTCAGAAACACCTGTAATTCCTGGTGGGGAAAGAGTTGTTTTACTTTTACATAATAGTACAGCAAAACCGCTTTTCACATAGGGACCGTAACTATTTTTATTTAAGTTTCCAAATTCCAAAGAAAAGTATTTGTGGTATTTTAAAACAGTAGGCTTTCAGAGCTCTATTATTTATTTCTAAACATTGCACCAGAGTTTTTATTTAATCGTGTTTGATACTGATTTTACAACTAAAGGTGGTCAGGATAAAAGGCTAGCTTCTGCTAAAATGATTAGAGGAACTATAGGTTCTGGAGAAGGGGAAGTGGCGAGTGAGGTGGAGAGATGGCAGACGAAAAAGCTAAACAGCCCGGTTTCCCTCGGTTTATGCCTAGACTTGCCTGCTGTGCCACTTGGCCTGGTACCCAGGCGCAGCTGAACAAGGGGGCAAGTGCTTCATGACAGCTGGCTCCGAGGGAGATCTGAGGCCTGCCTTGCCATGGTTGTGCCCAGCCCAGTTTTCCTGCTTGTTTGTTTAATCACGAGCCAATTCTTATTCCCCAACTCCAATTTTTCCCTCTGCCCCAAGAATAAATACATCAGTATTTTGTGTTTTCTGGCATTTATGTTCTAGTTCTAGTATTTAGTAAGGTTCTGGTACTGGGCAATGTTTTCTTACTATAATCCTTTTATGGCCTTTTGGAATACATTTATGTTATTTCTCCCACTGCTACACTTCTCAAAATAAAGTATGTGATTAAAATTCACTCCCAGTAATAGTATTATAGAAATTTGCTTTCCAGATGAGTAACTCCTTAAGAAGTTAAGTAAAACCAATTCACTGACTTTTGGGTCTTCCCCACTTCAATCGCGTCACCTGCCTGTGCTTGAACAGAAGTAACTCCTATTTAAATTTCCCAAAAGTCTCCTATAAGGGATAGGACACACTGTCCTTTTCCAGTCCCTTCTTCCCACTATCTCCAGAGGGTCTCCCAGCCAAAAAGCCTAATTGCCTGACTCATCACCCTGAAGTCCATTTTCATACCTCTGCATAGAAACACTCATTCATGACTCAGAGCATCCCTCAATGCACACTTTGCTTTACCGCAAGAGGACCAAGCTCCAGAATCCAGCCCTAAACCAGTTACCCAGTTTATGTCTTGTTGCCCAGCCTTCTCCCCTAATAAATAATGACCACTCACTCACCGCACCTGGCCACTACCAGGCCCACGTGCCTGTTGCACTCACCGGTCAGGCCCACTTGCCTTTCCCACAGTCTTTCCCTTCACGGCTCAGGTCAAGTTCTGCCACCTGCGGGACCTCCTATAAAAAGAAATTGCTGTACTGACTCATCAGACAGTGCCTCCAGCCACAAGACCAAGTAAATTAGTATAATTTATGGGAAAACAGAAAACTGCTGCTGCTGTCTGAACGGGAGCATCCTTTTGGTAAGAAAGCTTAGCCCGGGGAGGGTCTGGGCATAGCAAAGGGCTAATATACC